TATGTTTCATTTATATCACAAAAGCAATTACGTACACATATTTCACAACCATAATTTTCATCTGTTTTCATGCATTTCTTCCCAATGGCTATTAAATACGAGTACTTCAAGATTTACAATTTTCATGGCACCTAACCCATGATTTTTGTCCATTTGTTCCCCTTTCAATCTAATAACAATTAATTACATGTATTTCCAAGTATCATGATTTCATGAGCTATAATTCATGATTTTTGTCATTTTCATTCATTTTGACTACATATACTTGATTTCATTGAAGTTACGTATTCTTGATTTTCATTGAAGGTGTGCATAGTTAATTATCGCGAATCTGGGGTGGTAGCATGCGCAAAACAATCAGGCACCACCACTCCAAGATGGGTCTGTGGTCTGCGAGCGCACATGTATTTCCTCCACATTGTTGTGACACCCACCGAAACTGTCGACCCCCCAACAAAATAAAATAAAATTGAAGAACGGATAAAGTAAAATAAAATAAATTTGTGTTCGAATGCATTTCACGAGTGACCTTTTTCTTTTAATTATAGAAAATGCACATAGGTGATACTTTGGCATTTGGCTCCATCTCTGTGCGTGCACATGAAGTCATAAACAGCTATGAGAAGTATGTTGTTGTTTTAGTGACTGGAGAAAGAAGGTAAAAAGAAAAAGCAAAGAAGATAGTGTTGATAAAGAAAGATAAAATAGCATGGAATAAAGTGGTAGAGAGAGACGCTTGGAACCAAGGATGAATAACTCCAAGGAGTCAAGCTGAAAGGGGAAAATTAAGAATTCATTGTTTAAAACAGTATTCTTTAAATAACATTTTCCTTTTGGTTCTTTTGAACTAAGGAAACAATGAAGGATGATATGAAATACTATAAGTGCTAATCTGTCAAGAGATGCTTTATTTGGGCATGGATAATAATTTTTTCTCAAATATTTGCGATATTTCAGTGTGGAAATCATGATATTCCAAATAAATTATGGAAGATAACGTCGTTCCTTTTATAATGTGCAACTATGATGATTCCTAATTACTTTCTCAATCTTTTTTTTATCCCCTTCAATTCCTAAATCATCTTTAATATCTGAGAAGTTATTGTACAGAATCAATTGCCTATATAAATTAATGTCATCTGGCTTATACGGTCCCTTTAGCTTAGTAGGCTGAAAATTCAACCTGTAGATTTTGCTTTGTAAAGCTTCCATAAGCAGTTCAATTTATACACCATGTCAATAAAATATTATCAAAAAAATGTTATGTTCAGCAGCTTCATTTGAATTTCTCCATTTAACTATTCTAAAACTTTGGAGGTCCTTAAGGTTATGCAGACACGCTCCTCATACACTAATATATGTCTGTCTGATCGGCACATAGTGTGCGATCATAGGTTGTTATTTGAGATTACGAACGCAAATCATGTCGAATAAAGTTGCTCCTTTTAAGTATCCCATGTATATTATAACATTGAAATGTTTTTTTTACTTACTTTCACCTTATGATGGAAAATTACCAATTCATTCTAATGACATTATTCTGGATAACACAATTAGGACGTGCGAGATTTGTGGCTCAGCAGCAAAGAATGTTCCTGGAGCTTGTGAGACTGAATCGGTTGTCGAGCACTCCAATGAAACAACCATCAGTATCGATTCTCCTAGTCAACCAACTGAAACTCGACATTTCTGGCAAGGACGCAGACTCTTGAATTTCTTGCTCGCTTGTATTATATTCGCATTCGTCATCTCTTGGCTCTTTCACTTCAATGTCCCTGGCTAAAACCTGAGCAAAATCCTAAAGCACTGTTCTACTTATTGATCCAGCACTGATGCATACGGTGAAAACGAGATGAAAAAGGGCTTTGCTGGTTCAATTTTGCACGATACATCATGCGTTTGATCGATGTTTCTTAAGTTTATGCGATCCCCTTGTATATTAATTTTATTACTTGGATGAGTTGTTCTAGCGCCCTCTGCATCCAAGTAGTATAGCTGGAAATTGGAGCTGTACGTACTTGGTTGATACTTCGTATTGGTTTTGTGAAGTCCGAAAATAGGGGGAATCAGGTAGGAAGGTAGAACTGTGAGCGGTTCTAGTGCTTATGTAAACCGTGAGTTTGTTTTCTTCCTCTTTTTCTTTTCTTTTATTGTCTTTTTTTTTTCTTTTTCTTGTAGTAATAAACCGTGAGTTTCTTAATGTACAGCGCGGTATATATCCAGCTGATCACAGTGTCTCAGTGATTTGTAATTTGGTGAGAATGTAAGCTTAACTTGCTTCATCTATTTGCCAACATATTGTTGGGTATTTTCTTTTATTTATTTATTTATTTATTTAGTATTTTAGAAGATTTAATTTGGGTCCTTGGAAATATAACTTGAGAACACTCAAGAAGAAACACTACTATATCTTACATATATTTGAATGCGTTCGCCTTGACAGAAAGTATGAACATGTAGGATTAATAGTATGTCTATATGTCTACTATTGATATTTTTCTCATCTCTTTTGGCCTTGTTAATGTAGGATTAATAGTATATCTACTATGATAATTTTTGTCCGTCTCTTTTCGCCTTGTCATAGTAAAAGTATTACTACGATATACTTTTAGTTAACTAACTGAGGGAGATGATCCATAACTGAGAAGAATATGAGTTATATAGTCGATCCAAAAAATTTCAAGGTATGGGAGGTTGGAAGTTTGAGTAATAAGGAGCTTGTTATCATAACAAATTGTAGCGTAGGAGTTTCTTTTTCTTTTTTCTTTTTCACGGCAAAAAGTCTACTAAGAAACCAAAAACATAAATCCTAATAATTAACAAATTAACATAATGATTTTTACTAGAGTTTATTAAATAGATCTAAACTAGTCTGCTATCCAGAAATATTAATGATAACAAGGGTTAATTACATATAATCCACTGGTATTCCATTCACTTAAAGCTGCCCTATCGGCATCAATCATCATGCGCAACAAACAAAAAAAAAAAAAAATTGCACACACATAAATAAATGAACGAAAAGGTACAAAAGCAGCAAATTTACATTTTGACCCTTTTGAAGTTGTCGCGTCGGATCGGGTCCGGCTCAAGTTCTTTCTTGACCCGACCGATCCAGCCTTCAACATATGTTTGCCCCACTTACCAATCAAAAAACCCTAATTCCCAATTTCGTTCCGTCTCTTTTTGAAGTGATCGCTTCTTTCTTCCCCTGGTCTCGTTAGTTCCAAGGTTAGAAACGCATTCCTCTCTGATCTTCAACTAATAATAACAACGAATTTTAAGTGATATTGTGATCTTTACGTGTTATTTGAGTTGGATTTTGCTAATTCATTTTTATTTTCTACGATTTTTTCGATGTTTAGGTAGGAAAATCTTCAAAATGGCCGCTCAAGGTAATTTTGAGAAAGAACAGGTGCGTACTTTAACTGGGAAGGTTATTGGGTGTTGTTGTATTATCAGCTATTTATCTCATGAGTTTTTGTTCTTGATTTTCTTTTTTCTTTTTTTCCTCTGTAAATAAAAACAGATCTTTGGAATGGCAGAGAAAGAGATGGAGTACAGGGTAGAGCTTTTCAACAAGTAAGATAAATCACTAACAATATGTTGCTTATGAAACAGTGGCGTTTCATAGATCTTAGCAATTTCTGTGAGTAATTCAGATACGATTTTAGATTTTTAGTGACAAATTTCTGTGGACGGGTATATAAAGATATCGTGATGGTTCTACTTTGTCCCTCGTATCAATATATGCGTTAGACTGTTAGTGCTCCGAAGATCATGGAAGCAATGCTGCAGAAAAAGAAGACTTGTCATCCATGTTATTTTCCCTACCCCTTTGCTTTAGGAAAATAAATAAAAGCCAGTCAGGGTTATGCTTATGATGCTGTTTAAGAGATTGTGAAAGTTAAACTTTTAGGGAAAATTTAAATTCTTATGACGAGCTTGGGTATTATGACACTTGATGTATTTGTTACGGTTAGGGGTGGTAACGATCGAATCGAATCGAATACTAAGGTGTTCGTGTTTGTATTTGTTTAAAATTATCGAATTCGAATGTAGACTCTATTAGTCATATGTGGAGACTTTCAAATTCGGACTCGAATGCCTGGTATTTGATAAATATTCATGAATATCCACGAATACTTATTGAATATCAAAGTATATTTATTCCGCCAAAGAATTTGAAAAGAAAACAGATTTAAGATTTTTTAAGTGTTAATATCAGTACGTAAAACTTAAGTAGAAATGGTAAGTGTTCTAAAAATATGACATCATATGTGCAAAAATACAAATAATAAGTAATCAAATTTTAAACGAATATTTGATGGTCAAACAAATCGAATATACATTTAGTTAAATTCTATTCGTTAGTAAACTCGAATATTAAAAAATATTTGTTTAGTGGTAAATAAACTACCAAATCGTTTATGACCGAACAGTTACTCGAACAATTATCTAACTATTTCTTAATTATTTGGTTCATTTCCACTCCCCTTAGTTACAGTTCCATGATAAGTCTTATAGCTTGCAAATATTAGGACTAAAACAATAATTTTATTAATCACTTAAAATGACATAAATTATAAATAAAAAATTATAAAAATAAATTCTTTATTAATCATTTACAAATTATAAGTATAAATTTATTTTGGAATTCATCGCATCACAATAGATAAGTACATCCCAACTAGGTTTTTTTTAAAGTTCTTTTCTTTTCTTTTTTTGATAAAAAAATGTTAAAAATTAGTTTAACATTATTATATTTTATATAATTATGTATTAGTATATACTTACAAATTATTATGTAATTATATATTATATATACATATATTATCTGTAAATATATTGTATATATTTATAAGTTATAACTTGAGAGAGAGAGAATCGCATAAGTAGCCGTTGCCCGTTGGGCTAATGAGAAAGAAGTAGCCGTTGTAATATACTATACTTATATATACTTATATACTAAGAGAGAGAGTATACATACACACACATATTATACATATATAAGAGAGAGTATACTTATATAAGAGGGAGTATACATATATACTAAGAGAGAGAGTATATATATATACACACATATATTATACATATATAAGAGAGTGTATACTTATATATATTTATATAAGAGAGAGTATACATATATAAGAGAGAGTATACTTATATATACATATATACTAAGAGAGAGAGTATATATATACATACATACATACATTATACATATATAAGAGAGAGTATTCTTATATATACTTATAGAAGAGAAAGTATACTTATATATACTTATACATATATATACTTATATAAGAGAGAGTATACTTATATATACTTATATACTAAGAGAGTATATATATACACACAGTGTTATCGAGGCGCAAGGCGCAATGCGGGGCGCAAAGGTCCCTTACGCGCACCATGCGCAAGGCGCACAACAAGACGTGCGTCTCACTAACTGAGACGCATAACTCAAATTAATATTTACCAACATCATAAGACAGCAACATATAAGCAACATATTAGTTACCTACATCCAAAATTATGAGAATATCAACTTAAATCATCAATTATGCTAACTGAATTTTTAAAGTAACAAAAAAGATACAAGAAACATGTATTTAAATCATCAAATTAAGTGATTAACAATTATGAGCATATGTTTATAAATTATCACATAAAAAGACTAATAAATATATAATTAACAAACATGATTGTTTATAATTTTCTAGTTAGTATTCTTAATTGATATTTGCTACTTAGGTTGAAAAGATAAAGAATGAATGTAATAATTACATATTTACATGTTCATAATTTGCTATTAGCATGCTAATTAGAGAAGGAAGTTATAATTAGCAAACAAGTATACTAAATTACTAATTACTGTTTTCTTTTTATAGGTTAAACATGAAAAGATGAAAATAGATTAGCAACTAGTAAGAAAGAGTATATTACATGATATAAATATGTAATTATGTAAATTATTAAAAAAATTAGAAGAAAGAGTATGTTACATAACGCAGGTGCGAGGCACGAGCGAGCGCGCCTCGCTGCGTGCAGCGCCTCGCCTCGCGTGCGGGGCACATTTCCCCAGGCCGAAGCACCCCTCGCCCGGGGGTGCGCGCTTCAATAAGCCTGGTCACAAGTTCCTTCAAAACTCTTTGTTAATCGTAATCCGGGCCGGGCCGGCGGGCTTTTTGGACACATCTACTGTAGGCCATAGTCTGTGTTTCCATGTTTTCTCGATACACCTCTTGATCTTAAAAGTGGATCAGTTTCACATTTTGTAAGACCACAATCTTTTACTCACTAAAAGCATATTCACTTAAACTTCAGTACATCTACATGTGTGAGCATTTGGACTCTTTGCTGCCTCCCTTAGTTCCTCTACCTGCAACCTTGCATGATTATATAATTATGCAATGCAGCTCAATCCTCAAGGATATCCTTATTAAAGTCCTCATTTTCATGCATCTCAAATGTGTCCATAATTTCAAGCTGATACAACAAATATGGTCACCATAATTCATGCTCGCATCTTCAAAGAATAATTCTCTTTTTCATGCTCGGTCTGTTCTGCTAACTACTGTGTTATATGTCGTCTATATATCTACAATTTCAGTTAACCTTCATTTAATGCAAATCGCCAATCTTCTTCGTACTAAGTGTGAGTATGTACATCACCTCAATTATTAATAAACTCCTCTATTTCTTGCATCTAGGTTCCTAACTCAGAAATGAACATATATCCCTGACAGTTGGTAGTTTTCTTATATTTTGACATCTATTCAACAATTGAAATCAAGTGCTTTATCTGTTTGTAATCAAACATAAAGTTGTGGAGTTCATAACAAAGAATGTGTGATGTTATATCAATAATTTGAAGCTGCATTGGGAGAAAAATAGATACTCAGTTGATACCCGCTTATCTTAGTAAGCTTGATTGCTGTCTATTGTTGATAAGAAGCTTGCATGTGTGTTAGGAAAGTGTTCTTACATGGATATTCTTAAACTTTGATCTATTGAGGAGGTGGACATTTACAGTGCAAGTATCAGCCTTTACAATGAATGTGCCGCAGTTGTTGAATTGGATAAGATACGAGATGGAGTGTGGGTGTAATATCCAGAGAAAATGTAACCTTAATGGCTTATGTGACTGTTGACAGTTTTTATATGAAACTCGTCTTGGTATATAGCTTTTTGGCTTTTCATTAGAAGTTATTACTATTAAGAATATTTTTCCTCTACTTGCTAGGATAAAAAAAATGATTCAGTTGAAACCTACAATTGGCCATTTGTAAGGATTGTCAGAGAGGATCTGTCAGCCAAATATATGTGGGATTTCGCACTGCTGTGGCATTTTTAATATACTTCATCAAGTTCAGTAATGTTTCTTGTTTCCCTTTTCTATTGGTACATGATATCCTGTATTACATATTCTACGTATAGTAGACAGTAGACACTTCTTGGTCAGGAAAATTTTTAGGGTTGATAATTCTATTACTTAGCCAGATGCCCATATTTACCTAAGCCAGGAGGAATTAACCATTAATTCAGAGACAGGCAGTTGATGTCATGTTGGCAGCCAGTCTTGCTGAGTATTTCTCCCTAGTCAGCCACATTTTGGTGTGCGAAGGCTTAAGATGTGATAATGATCATGGGCTTTCCTGATGCTGGGATTTTATATTTTTTCTTTAAATTTTATTGCAGATAAAGATATCTGTACTCATGTTAAATATTTTTATTTGTTTAGTTATTACTATTGCTTATGTAAAGGTCATGAGTATGTACTTTCTGATTGAGTCATATGCATGTACGGAGTTATCATTCACCTCTTCTGAGATGCTGGTTTTAGTTGCTTTAGAAATTTACAGAACAAGATAATTGTATTGTGGATAGATAATACACTGTTAAATTTATATCAAACTTTTACTTCAAAATATTCAATATCCACTACCAATTATGCTTTTGGTTTGTATAAGCTGAAGCTTACAGAGTGACAGTGTCCAATTTTGCTAGGTCGAATGTATTGCGAGTTAAATGGCTATTGATTTCACATATTTTGATCTTCTTTTGAATATTTTACAGGCTCACTCACACTTGCTTTGACAAATGTGTCGAGAAAAAGTAAGTTATCTTTATGACTTTATCTCATTTACAAGATTGTTATAAATGTTCATTGCTTCAAACACTTTGAACATGTATCAACCTAGGAAAATTTTCTTCTAATGAACTCGGAAGTTGAATTGAAGTATGATACGTTCTAAATTGTAGTTTCTTGTGTTCTTTTTCTTTTTTTAGATATAAAGAATCTGAGCTCAATATGGGTGAGAACAGTTGTATTGATCGCTGCGTTTCAAAATATTGGCAGGTACACTTTTAGTAACTTTTTGGACATAACATTGATTCGTGTTGGATGACAATTCTGAAGTTACTAATTTGAAAATGGTCAAGGGAAGCCAATTAGACATTACGTAATATTGGTATAAACCCATGGTCTTCGATATTTAGAAATTTTCATACTCGATTTTCATTCTCAGTAGGCTTTGTACATCTAATTGAATTCTTGACTTTGTTGCTGCATGGGCTGTGCTAATTGAATTTTTTGGATATAACATTGATTCGTGCTGGTGGACATTGCTGGAGTCACTAATTTGAAAATTGTCAAGGGAAGTCAATTAGACATTACAATTTTTTACCCCATAATATTGGTATAAACCCATGGTCTTCGGTATTTTGAAATTTTCATACTCGATCTTCATTCGCAGTAGGTTTTGTGCATCCAATTGAATTTTTGAGTTTGTTGCTGCATGGGCTGTGCTAGTTTCTGTTTCTCCAGCTTTTCCTTCCTTTTTATAGGTTCAGATTTTATGAATATAATAATGAATTCCTTGAATATATATAATATACTATATATATATATATATATATATATATATATTGATGAATTAATGGGTATCCTTGTCATAGGAGGCGGATTTCCTCCTTGACGCCTCTAAAATCACATGATTGAGCGCCATTGTGGATGATCTGCTCCGTTGAACTTGATCTACATATTCTAAAACCCCAACAACCAAGTTTGGGGGTGAACCCGTCGTCGTTTGACCATCTCATCCACTCGTATCAATTTTTAACGGGTTTTGAATGAATAGACTTTTCACATGGCTCAATGGGAGGGTCAAAGACGACGGATTCACCCCAAACTTGGTGTGTTGGGGTTAGAATATGTAGATCAAGTTCAACGGAGCGGATCATCCATAATGTCGCTCAATCATGTGATTTTAGGCGTCAAGGAGGAAATCTCATCCTATGACAAGGATACCCATTAATCTCCATTCATATACTATATATATTATAATATATATACTTATATATATATTACTATATATATCATGTGGCTGTGCTGTGTTCCGACAAAAGCTCAGCATGTCTTAGGATTGCATCCTGTTAATAGCTCAAGAAATACTCTCCTTTTGTGAGAATACATACCATGGACAAGGGTCTCTAAGTTGATTTGGCTGAAATGAACTTTAGAGGAACTCATTTGTTAAAAAGAATCCCAAAATTCCTGAAACTTGCATGCTGACTCTTATATATAACTATGTTTAAGGTATTTTCCTTGCTATTTTGTTCTTTTGGGGCGAATTTGCCTTGTACATTCCCTGTACTATAAGGAACCGTTTGGCAAAGGGTTAAGTGAGGGGTTAAGGAGACTTAACCCCTTCTTAACCCGCCAAACATAAAAAATATATACAAGGGTTAAAGTGAGTTAACCCTCCATAATTTGCCAAACATAAAAAATATAGAAGGGTTAAGCTAACCCCTTTAGAGGGATTAAAATGAGTTAACCCCTCAAAATGAGGGGTTTACTAATACTCCTTTTTAGAAGGATTAAGAGTTAACTCTTCTAATTATAAAGAAAATAGTCAAAATCATTGTTATTCCCAAACACTAAAACTGATTACAAGGACTAAAATAAAACTTATATAACGGGTTAATAATTTAGTCATTCGGATTATCGAATGGGTTAACAATGTTAATCCTTCTCCTTAATCCTTCTTCGTTAACTCTTTGCCAAACGGAGCCTAAAGAGTTAGTAATTTATTATCCCTGCGCTTTTTTATGAGTATTTGGATCCCCGATGCCCAAATAGAGTCATCTCTCCGATATTTATAACCAAGCTGTAATGCTTCTCTGAAATTAAAATGTTTGGTTCATATCGCAGGTAACAAACTTGGTTGGGCAGCTGCTTGGTAACAATAACAGGCCAATGTGAAGCATGGGTCCTGTTCTCCTGTTTACCAAACTAACCTGCAGCCATGAATTGCAATAAATTAAGCAGAGCATGTAACTTACGGGGAAGGGAATTTGTTGCCCTTTATAGGATGAGGGAGAATGTAAAAATGCATTACATGCGGCAAACTTTTTTGTGTTGGATATTCAATTATGTACACCTTTTATTTGCACAAGGGAATAGCTGAGTAACTCACTTTAATTTGTTTGGTGCATTGATAATTCAGTCAATTGGAACTTTTGGTATTCACTTGTTCTTGATTTGCTTGGGTTAGTGCTATCTGGATCTGTGACGCAGGATGTTTGATTAATATTTAATTTTTTATTTCTTTCATCGCTATTAGGTCGAAACGAGAGAAAAGAGACAAAAATCGTGATTTATAACATATGAAAATCACAAATTCTGCTCTATGAATGCTTAATCTTAGTGGGAGGAAATGAATGAAAATGAACAAATCGTATGGATAATTAAATATCATAGGGAATTGAAGGAAAACAGTTAAATCGTGGGTTATAGTTCATGAAAATCACGAACTTTCAAATATATGTAATTAATTGACGTTGGGTCGAAGTGAACAAAAATAGTCAAAAACATTGCTATTTAATTGTCATTAGGTTTAAATGAACAAAAATGGACAAGAGTATCACAAATTTAAAATATGCATACTTAATTGTCAATGAGTCTAAACAAGTGAAAATGAAGAAAAAACATGGGGTTAAGGCCACGAAAATTGTGAATTTTTAATTGTACAACTTAATTGTCAATAGGTTGAAATAAAAAAATATTTGAAAATACACATAATTAATTGCTATTGGAAGAAATATATGCAACCGAACAAAAATTATGGGTTAACCCATAAAAGTGGTGAATTTTAAAGTACGTATACGTAACTACCATTGGATCGGGAAAAAAGAAACAAATTTTTTTGACTATAGCCTATAAAATTGTGAATTTTGAAATATACATATTCAATTGTAAATTGATCAAAATAAATAAAATAGAATAAAATTATGGGTAATAGCCCATGAAAATCTTAGCTTTTGAAAAATGTATACTAATTGGCATTGAGAACAAAAGACGACAGAAAAAAACTGTAGTTATATTTAACAAAATCATGACTTTTGAAGTATAGATGCTTAATTAACATAACATTGGATGGCAACAAATGAAAATTAATAAAAGTTGCGCCTTATATTCCGTGAAATTGTAAATTTTGAAGTACATATCTAATTGTCATTAGTTCGGAATGAACAAATATGAATAAAAATCATGGGCTATTGCCCATAGAAATCATGAACTTTGATGTACACATAATTAATTGGTATTGACTCGAAATGAATGAAAATGGCGGAAATATCGCGAAGTGTTATTTACCCATAATTTATTGTCACTAGTCGAAATGAATAAAAATGGACAATATTTGGTGGATAGCTCAAGAAAATCATGAATTTTAAAGTACGCATATTTAATTGTGATTATCCTATATCAAAAGGAAAAGTGTAAAGATATTATTGGTTATAGCCCGTAAAAATTGTAACAATTGAAGTAACCATAGTTCATTTTCAACGGGTCGAAACATACGAAAATGGACAAAAACATGTGTTATAGCCCATAAAAATTGTAAAATTTTGAAATATGCATGCATATTTTTATTGAAAGAAAAGGAAGAAAAATGGACAAAAACAATGAATATCACGATTTTAAAGTGCTAATACTTAATTGCCATTGGATAAAAAATAACAGAAATGAACAAACTCATAGTTTTGATATGAAGTTGAAATGAATAGAAATTGACAAAAATCATGGATTATAACCCTATGAAAATCACAAAATTTATAGTATGCAAACTTATTTGTCATTGGTTTGAAACGAACAAAGTTGGAGAAAAACTGTCATTGAGTTAAAACGTATAAAAATTATAAAAAAGCATAAGTTATAACCTACGAAAATAGGAAATTTTGAAATATTTGTTCTTAATTTAAAAGCTAAATAACACTTAAATACCTTATAGTTTCACTCCTTTACCACTTATATACCCTCACTCGCACTTTGTAGCATTTATATACCCTTAGTTGGTCAAAAATTAACACTTTAATATCGTGAATTTTTTTTGTTGGAAAGTTCCCATATAACATTCATATGTTAATTTTGAAGCTTTCTAACCATCAATATTTATTAAATTAATATTAGACAAACCAAAATTCTAATTTTAAATGCAACATAATTCTATTTCAAAAATAGAATTTTAAAAGATTTAACAATGATTTCAACAAAATTAATAGAGAAATAACTATAAAAAATAGCATATAAATATTATATGGAAACTTTTGAATAAAAATTGTCACGTTTGCAAAACATAGGGTATCAATATGCCAATTTTGACCAACTCAGGATATATAAATGCTAAGAAATACAACTGAGGGTATATGAGTGCTAACAGAGTGAAACTATAAGGTATTTAAGTGCCATTTTGCCTAATTTAAATTGACTTGAAACGAGGGGAAATGAACAAAAAAAAAAAACGAGGGTTAGAGCCCAAAAAATCGTGGCTTTTGAAATACCCGTACTTAATTGCATTATGCTAAAATGAACGAAAATAGGAAAAACTCGTAGATTATAGCTCATGAAATCGTGAAATTTAAAGTATGCATGTTTAATTGCCTTAGGTGGAAATGAATAAAATTGAACAAAACTCGTGAGTATTTCAAGTACGTCTAATTACATGCTTATATCTCATGTAATCGTGAATTTTGAATTGTGTATACTTAATTTCCATTTATTCAAAAGGAACAAAAAGGGACAAATCACGAGATATATCCCATGAAATTGGAAAATTTGGAAGTACACGTAATTAATTTCCATTGGTTCAAAATGAACAAAAATGGTCAAAATTGTGAACTATAATCCATGAAAATCTTGAATTTTTAAGTACAAATAAGTAAATGTTATTGGATCAAAACTAACAAAAATAGTCAAAAATATTGCATGTTTAATTATCGTTGAGTTGAAAAAAATGAAAATGAACAAAAATCACGAGTTATAGTCCATGAAATTATAAATTTTAAAATATGCGTAATTAATTGCAAGTGGGTCAAAACGAATGAAAATTGATAAAATTGTGACCCAAGAAAAGCATAACTTTTGAAGTAACTATATTTAATTGTTTGAATAGAAATGAACGAAAATGAACAAAAATAATAGGTTATAGTTCATGAAACAGTAAATTATAAACTATACATGCTTAATTGTTATTGGGCCGAAATAATTGAAAATGAATAGAAATCGTGACTTACCTACAAAATCTTCAATTTTGAAGTACGTTTAGTTAATTTTTATTAGGTTGAAAAGGGCGAAAATAGAACAAAATCTAGGATTTATAACTCATGAAAATTGCAAGTTTTAAAGTATCTGCATAATTAATTGTCATTGGCTTGAAATAAATACAAACTGTCAAAATTAACATGAGGTTTAAAAAGCGCATAATTCGCTGTCATTTGGTTAAAATAGACAAAAATCATGGATACTAACTCATGAAAATCGTAAATTTTTAAGTACGCAAATCAATAGCCATTGGATCAAAACGATTAAAAAATGCGCAAAGTTCATGGGCTATAGTCCATGAAAACCACAACATTTGAAGTACTCATATTAGATTGCCATTAGGTCAAAGTGAACAATATTGAACAAAAGTTATGAGTTATAGCTTATGCAATTGTAAATTTTAGAATACAAGCACTTCAATATCATCAGATTAAGACTAACGAAAATGGACAAAAATCATGGGTGAAATTCCATGAAAATCTCAATTTTTTGAAGAACCAATACTTAATTATCATTGGATCGAAATAAATGGATCGAGTCAATAGAACAAAAATTGACAAAGGACATGGGTTATAGCCCATGAAAATCTTGAATTTTGAAGTATGTAAACTTAATTGACAACAGTCGAAACTAATGAAAATGATCAAAAATCATTGGTGACGTAGCCCTTAAAAAATTTTGGTGTACATACTTCCTTGCCACTAGATCGAAAGAATGAAATGAAAAAAAAAAGAAAGAAAAAGAAATAACCATTTGGCCAATGAAAATTACAAAATTTAAGAGTATCTGACCTTACACGGAATAAAACAACTAATTTATATGCGGACCACTGCTTGTTCCAGGCTTTGGTGGTTTAAACATAGCAGGCTACCAATACGGACCCCCACTGAGCCTGTTTCGTTGTCCAAAATGATAGGTTGGGGACCATCGATCGCCAGACGGGAGCTGGGACTTGGTTATATGTTGATACCTTGGCCATCAAAAACAGGTATTTTGAAGCTCATAATAGATTTCCATATCACAAAGATAAGACTATCATTAATGAAACAAGCCCACCACATGCAATCCCATCAGCAAAACATACCACCTGCACTCTTCAGCGCATCCACACGCCCTCGATCAACAGATACCAGCATTCACATACAAAAAAGAATCACCATCGATAGCACAAGCTTTGATCAAATGTGAAGGACTACACTATCCTTATTAAGCTGCACATAATCAAAAGTCATGGTACATTGAATTTGTGGCATGATCACCACAATAGAAGCATAACTGCTCTCTATTGTCTCCCCTTTGAAGTTACAACTTCGATCCTTATAGACCTTCGGTCACAACCAATGAATTATAAGACGTAAGGATGCATCCGGGCTGGGTATCAAATCTTAGGAACTATACCCGTGGATTATATACCATAAGGATGCTGCTAGGGCTTGGCAAAGGCTTCTAATCTGGGGAGCTAATGCGGGCAGCCCCAATCAAAATCGAATACTCCATCAATTACGATATCAGTCCAATCGTCATGAACCGTTCATTGTTTCAGAATGGACATGGTTGCCATTTTCTAGATGCTTCCCATTCATTTGCGTCCTTTGTCTCTGAATCAAAATCAAGAAATGAAACACGTCAGGAGTCAAGATATAAATCATATATACCATATGTAATGGACTGAAAATTTCAGAAATGACCAAAAATCATATTCGTGTGCTATACCCAATCAGCAGTATCAATGGAATTCCCATTCAATAACTTGTGGTTCTCCTCTTTGGTTCTATCTTTTTCTTTGGAGCTCAGTGGCAACAGCGGTGAGGCACCACCAGTTCGATCAGGCATTTCTGTAAGGAAGCAAGAAACAGAGAACTTTAAACATGAATGTTGATGAAAAGCTTATACATCAAGCATTTAAGCTCACTTTTCTAAAGACTTTCGCAGTGCTGTCATCTCACTGATATATTAGCCACGCAAATAGCTCTCAATCATTAGAGTAGCTATTTACTGTTTTTTGTGTATTTTTTTCAGTCTTCATTTTGGGTAGTTTCATTTGCTTTTTTCCTTTACTTCCCTCATTCGTTCATATGGTAAATTTATTGTTTCATGTCATTTATTTTCATTAATGTAATTTTCCTTGTTTTACATTAATTTCTCTCATGAACCTAGGAATAGGTTTCTGTCTCCTTCCTGTCAATACTAGCTCTGGGCTGAAATGCTTCACCTCTAGAAGAGGCAGACATGAGAAGTAGAAAAACCTACATCCAAGCATGTCTTCGATTCTAATAGTTAAGTATAATAATAACTGTGTCAGATTGTTTCTAATTGTGCCTTTTGAGATTATTCTGGTAAGTCGGGCAATACAATATAGTGGAACATCACCAAGCAGCCCAAGTTTGGACTCATGGAAGAGCTACAAGGGAAAGGTAAACATCTATCCTAGTGAATTTGTTACCAGTATGATAACAACAATCCACATAATGACAGGTGAATCACTATTGCCCATTCCACTGATGTTATCTATAAGGTGTATATGCACCGGGTTCACAGCTCTTAGGAGACAGGTACACAGGCTAGAGAACATACAAATAGCCAAATATATGTGAATTTCAGAGACGTAGAAGTGGCTTTGCAAGAAAACATTGAAAATTTTAAATACACAAACCTGGTAGTTGCTTGTCAACAAAAAATACCACTAAATTTACAGTGTACCTGGATTAAAGAAACAAAATTAGTCAAAGCAAAAATTCCATCATCAGAAAATAATAACTGAATGCTGAAAGGTTATCTTACCATGCAACAACAACGTCAACTGAGTAATGCTTGCGAGAAGCGATTATAAGCAGACTTTGAATAATAGCCATCAACCAAGCAAGAGCCTTGATAAACCTGCACACAGCCAGGTAAGATTAAAGAGCAGATCAAAGAAGATTTTTAAAACTAAGATTCCAAGCATTCTAAGCCCTTTACCTCTTAGAGCCATATTTATGGTATACACGCACAAACACCAGAGTGAATATCATGTGGGATGAAAATATACCTCTTAGAGCCATATTTATGGTATACACGCACAAACACCAGAGTGAATATCATGTGGGATGAAAATATCAGATCACCACAACCATATATGGTATACACGCACAAACACCAGAGTGAATATCATGTGGGATGAAAATATCAGATCACCACAACCATAGTTGACTCCTCGAGGGACTGCAAACAAGAATAAACCAAATGAACATCTATTTCATCCAAGTTATATGATAATGAGACTCTCTAAAGAAATGAATTCCGGAAGAACTGCAAACAGGATCACCTCAAATGAAGATTACTTACAGTTAATTAGAAGCACTTCCCACACGCTATCAGGAGGGGGCAATGTGGCAAGTTCGGAACCCTGCATGGAAGCTCAATGCTCTCAGTTATACTTATAAATTACTAAGTGAGGTTCATTTGAATGAAACTATAATATGTTAATAGATGGTACTGGTCAATTGCTATTGAAAGCTCATCAATAAAATTGGCATAGAGATTTACCTCACGACAGTGATAGTTAGGCCCAGGAAGTTGAGTAGAATAGAATGTAACAATCCGTAACATCTGTGAGGCCTGCATGAATAACTTCTTTGTCAGACTAAAGCATTGGCAACCATCAAACATGGCTTATCCAGTATCAGTTATGGAACTTACAACTAAAAAAGCCAGCACCCTCCGCCATATTAGAACTGTATAGAAGCGTTTACTGTGGAAAATGAAAGGGTGAAATGTCCACTGCACCCTCCGCCATATTAGAACTGTATAGAAGCGTTTACTGTGGAAAATGAAAGGGTGAAATGTCCACTGCAAAAGAAATTGACGGAACATCATGTCATAAACATTTGGAAAACTGAATGAAAACAATCTCAGCCCTTCAGAAAATACATGGGAGAAAGAAAAGAAGATATTAATAGTGATCGAATAAACAACAAAAGAGGACATTCATCTGCAAGATACGAAACTCAACTAATGAAATTATAGATAATCTTATCACGATAAATGACAGGGCTTTTTAGTTTTTTTAATACTAAAATGCAACTAAGTTCCATTAGATATATAGAAGCCAACTCAAATACAATGAATAAGTAACAAGGCAACCCATTAAGAGGGGAGAAGGTTGCAAAATTGTAGCACAACTAAACTAGCACGTGGAAGGTGGTACAGATAAAAAAATGAGACAAGACCAGCAGAACCTTATGAAACTTTGCTGCTATAGTAATAATATAATGAGAAAGTAATGTAATTGAGTGACGAAAAGATAACAAACCACAGCACTATTTGACACTTTGTAGGTCTAGAAGCTAAAAGATAACCACTACGAATTATAGTTTACGAGCAATTGAGTAAATAGAGTAAATATCTTCTATCATCAGCTTCAGTAAGGTAACAACCATAGGGTAAAGGAACATACCAAGAGAAATGAGAGAAAGATGACGGTGAATACAGTCTCACTAATATAAGATCTCTCCCTTCCAAGCTCCTATATCAACAAAAGAACAATAAGATAGTAACTCATAATTCTTAGTAAAAGGACATTTTTGTTCTAATTGAACACAAGGATAGCTTTTTCAAGACTTATTGCGACCGTATGTGACAGATAAACTACATAATAATATACTGACCGGAAGGATCATGAACCCAAGATCTTGGAGAACAGGTCCAGGTCGATGTAAATAGTGAACTCCTCGAGCTGCCAACCCATGAATATACTGCAGATGGAAACAACAAACATAGCATACTTCTCCAAGTTAGTCCATACCATGGTCATTAAAGTGAGCCTGCTACTTTTTTAAAAATTTATTTCCAATCGGTAAACTCTATGCAATATCAGTCGTGAGTTATTTAACTCTTTCTTTCTTCCCTTTCTGTACAAGAAAATTTATCAGCCTCCACATTAATTTCCTTTCCTTTTCGATACTATAGTTTATATTTTTTATATTTTTTTTATCACTTATTCACGGATACAATTCTGCTCAAAAAATTCCCAAATATATGGTGATACACAATAAATCCAAAAATATAAATTTACCAAAATGTTCCTCCTCTATTAAAGAATACTCTTAACAGCAAAATCTTCGTCACGAGATCATATAAAAAAAGAATAATACCTGAAAAATAAGCCCTAGGAGCAAAAGATGCCACTTTTCCAAAAGAATCTGCACCTCTAGAGCAGTCTCTGTTGCAATCTTCCTCCATAACTAAAAAAATCACAGCAAAAAATTCAAAAATTCCCCCTTAAATTAACAAATCTATAAAGGAAAAAAAAACGATTGATTAAAACTAAATCAAACAGACCTTGGTAGCTTCTCTTGCAAGATACATCGTAATCTTTATGAACGCAATTTCATCCATAGAACGAAAACCCTCGATTAACGAGATCGAGAAAACCCTAGCTCGCCGATCGCCGATCCCCAATCAGGGGAGTCCGAGTCAAAAGATTCTAGAAGACCGGGAACAGCAGCAGCAGGACCAATTGAGCTAAAAAAAATTTGAAAAAAAAAAGAAACTTTAATGTCGAGAAAAATGAGAAAAATAAGCTAAAACCGTAGCTTTTATACGCTGAGGGGGGAGTGGGCCCCACTTATTTCTAGAACGCGAGGTTGACGCGGAGAAGAAAGAAGCAGCAGCCGAAGACGACGAACGACGAAAGGAGGTTTCGCTTTTGTGATGGTATTAAATTTTTAATACCCTTCGGTATTGGAATTAATTACGTAAGTGACACTCGAGTACAGGTCATCTCTGCTGTCACCGTGATGGGCAGAGCTGTAAATTGACAGCGCAAACACCTGACCTGTAGAGTTCATTTTCCTTTCTGAAGAACAGATATGCCCCTTGCCCTTGGGAAACTCGGGTCCTAACGTCTTGTTTGGTACGTGGGAATGAACTCAAATAAGAATGAAAAGGAAGAATGAATGAAATGGAATTAATGTGAGAATGTTCATTCTCTATCATTTAATTGGGAATGCCCATTCTCTATCATTTAATTGGGAACATTCATCCCCACATAAAATGAGAAGTGAGAATGAACACTCCAACTTTAAAAAAATGGGTTTGTTTGGTAGGAAGGAATGAGAAGTGAGAATGATCATTCCATTCCACCACATTCCCGCGTACCAAACGAGACCTAAAGATTAAATAGGCTAATTAGGATATTATGAATTATTAATCTGGTTATATCCAAATCTCTCATGATATTGTTGAAATTGATGTATATTTAAAATTTTCATTATGATTACATATACTGATAATGTACAAACACAATCTGATTTGTATCCAAATACGTTTATGTTTGCTTTTCGTAGATACGGATTATATATTAGATTTACATTATAGAATCATAATGATTATATTCATATCTGATAAGTTTGCATCCTTCTAAATATCAGCTTGTAATCTCCGCACTTACAAGCCTGAAATTAAGGGGACCGGCCGCCGGCCCTTTCACATGTCCCACGTGGAAGGGTCAATTATTTGGCCTTGATGTTTCATGGTAACTACGAGGTTGCCATTGACAGAAGTAACGGAAAATGGTTGGTTTCTGCACGTGATGATGAGTAGTTTGCCGGCTTTTTGGGGAATTTGAATTCGAAATATTTCGAGGGAGAAAGCGCGTTGAGCCTTCGATGGTATCGTTTTCTTTGATTTGTTAATAGTTTGACCAATAGTGGGCTGAACTGGGCTTTGATCTTTGAGCTATGGCCTACGGGCCATTTAGGGAAGGCTCATTATTGAAGCTTACGGATAATAATAGTACATTGGGCCACACTGCAGGACACAAGCCTATCGATTGCCGAGCGCACGGGGCCTGTTTGTTTGCATTATTTGGAGCGGAAAAACCTGTCAAAGTTCTAAAAAAATCATAACTTTGACAGACTTTCTTGGCCTGCAAAAGTTCTGATTTTTTCAGAACTTTTCCAAACGGGCCCTTGATAGCTTGGGCGGGCCACTTGATTGCCTACTTGGACACTTTATCAGGTCAGTCGCAGAATCTTTTTGACTCTAGTGATATTTTTTTTCGTGCAAATGAAAATTAAAAGTGAAAAAAATGATTCATGGTAGGTGTTTGTGAGCATGCAGCGATTGTGAAGGTGAAATTGTTCTCGAAAAAGTCATGGTGGAAAAGTTGTTACCTCAATAACCTCTCAAGGCTGTCATGTTGTAGCATACTAGATTCAATTTTGTAGATGAAATAAAATCATTTTCCAGAGATTTAGGATCAATAATGCTCATATAGTGAGATTGATCTTATGTGGTCGATATTGTATTGAGGAGGGACTAAAGTACAAAAATTGATGAGCTTTGCTACAGTGACCCAAAATATGAGACTAACAGATGGGACAAGTAATGCGTCCCCCTCCTATTGCATAATGAGCTGACCATCATTAATGATGGCCAGCTCATTATGCAATAGGAAGGAGACGTCTCACATGTCCCCCCTGTCAGTCCTATATTTTTGGTCATTGGGGAATTTTTCCATCAAAGAACCCAAGTGCAATCCTCCATGTATGATTTTAATCGGTTCTTTTTTTTACAGCCAAGCTTCACGTGTGCTCCGAGCACGTGAGCTATATCCATTTGCACTACGCTGTAGGTATCTAAAAATGTCTGTAGGTATGAATGTCACTATCTAAGTCAGAGGAGATCATCCAAAAGAAGTGAAACAACATAGAAGAACATTGTGCACACCAACGACAAAATACACTGACAGGCGACATGCATAGGCGCAGCAGCTCATGGTGACGCGCCTAAGGCGCGACAGCCCATGGTGACGCGCCTAAGATGCGGGAGCAAAGGATGACACGTAAACACAGTGGCCTCTTATATAAATTGTTGGTAATTTTTAAGATCTCTTGAAGGTCCACGTGGCAGCATATCAGAAAGAGAACGTGTATTGACGTGGATAAGCAGTTAAACCACGAAAAAAGTGGTTAAAAGTCGTGGGAGAACGATCTTAAACATGTTGGGACGTGGCAGAAACCGTCTCTTTGGCCGCGCCAGCCTACACTGACGCGCCAATAGCCGCGGCAGCGTAGACTGACGCGCCCAAAGAGCCTACACTCGATCAGTTATTTCGCCTCCATTTTCACTGTTGTGCACTCCTATCCCTATAAATACCTCCCTAGACACGAAACAAAGAACGGAGGGCAAATTGGAGCAGAGAGACTTAAGCTTTTGGTGATTTGGAGCAAGAGAGAGAGTCTTCATTCTTCATAAACACTTTCAAGAAGCTTTTGGCGATTCCCAAAGATCTAAGCTCTGACTTGATCTTTGAAAGAGTGAACATCTTACATCGATAAGATATTCGCTTAAAGATTCTTACTTCGATAAACATCTTACATCGATAAGATATTCGCTTAAAGATTCTTACTTCGATAAACGAAGAAGAATATCCAAAAACCTTCACGATTCAATCAAAATCTGTGAATCGGTGGTCCACGGGCCAAAGCACTCCCAGCATAGACAAAGTCTCACGAAACAAAAGTCGATAAACGATTTTTGTGTTATTTTCCCGAAAGTTGTAATCTTCTTATCTTTCATTGTATTTCACTGTAAACGACTAAAGTTTAAATGGAATCATCAATGGAACCGACTTTTGACGAAAACATACGATTCAACTTCGTTCATTTTATCTCTAAAAGCAAGCAAAATTTCGTTCTAAAAAAAGTCGAATGCCGGTTGCAAGCACATGGGAACCAACGGCGTGAAGGCCGCCGCACCGGCCCACATATGGTTGCGGGCCTGCTTCGGATAAGCCCTCAATTCTTGAAACCCTTGCTTCCCTAAAAAGTAAAAAATAAAAAAATAAAATAACATATACATTGTTTAGGTCAGTCTGAACGCATAAATTAAGTGCAAGGCGACATGAGAATCTTTAGAAGACGAGAGAAATTGAAGATAGAATCTTAAAATTGTTTGATTGAATAAAGATGCATAGCATACAAACAAAACCAAGGGGATAACAAATTAACAACCCTTGGATCAGTGAACAAATCCTTAAATCCTTCTGTATTGCACTGATCCAAGGATTTATTATTTCATTGGATGTTGTATACAGTGCCCACTCGATGTTTTCTCATCCAGACAAACCTCATATCAGTTACATACTTCCACTTTTTTTTTAACAGGGTCTTGATCCAAGGTGCACCGCAGCCCTTTTCTCCAGTGCAGTATGCACCGGGGAGAAGCTCATCAACGGCGACGACTGCTTTGTTCTCCCTGTCGACGCCAACCCTCCAACCGTCCGATCACGAAGCAGAAACACTGTAGAAATCATTAGGCATAGTATACGAGGCTATTTCAGCCAGCGTACTGGCCTCTTAGTCCGACTAGATGACTCTCGTCTGCTGAGAATGAAATCATCAAACGAAGAAAATGTCTATTGGGAGACCACAATTGAATCCTTGATCAGAGACTATCGGTTGATCAATGGCATCAATGTAGCTCATTCTGGAGAGGCTGATGTGCATCTGCTCACGTTTGGGGAGAACAGAGATGGGCTCACGAGGATGAGGATGGAGGAGGTGTGGACTGTTGAAGAGGTTGATTTCAGTGTAGAGGGGTCGGTCATCTATGGATTGCTTCTTGCCTCCGGGGGATCTCAAGGAAGAGAAGGAAAATCGTGGTGAAATAACGAAGAATGCATGTGCGCCTGTTAGGATTCAGGGTGCGGCAAGTAGGCTTGGTTCGTCAAAGGTTGCCTCATGAGACGCCGATGAGTGGGGTTCAAAGGAGGAGGAATACGAGAAGCTATAACAGACTTCGCATTGAACTGTAAATGGGGAAAAAATGTAAATTTTGGGGTACGTGTGTGTTTGATGGTAGATAGAAATGTCAGCAATAGAATTTGATCAAGTGATGCTACTCTGATCTAAATTGGAGCACAATGCTACGTCTTTTACATAAGTCAGCAAATCACATTATCAATGAACTGATAATTCCAAGACAAATGCAGGCATATGGATACATGTTATCTCTAAAAATGCATGCACATATGGCTCAAAATGATTGGCAATCACTTTTATAATTGAGAGTCAATATATCTGGCCCGTTACCAGTAATGGTTCATATCAGACTAGACTAGTGCTAGTCGATGAAGGTTTACTTCGACATAAGAAAATTAGTCTTTTTTTTTCTTTTTTTATATTCCAATTGAAGGCAATTGGCTATCAGGATATATATGGATACAACTATCACAGGGTCTCAAAAAGCAAGTAATTATATACAGTTTTGTGATCCATCATATTCACAAAAAATAGTCTAAGAGACAAATGACTTACTGAATTAGCAGTCAGTGGGAGGAACCGAAGCTTTGCTTCAAAACTCTTGGAGGGAAGTCTCACACCTGCGTCATGCACTTGTGAACCCAAATCCAAGATTCTGAGGCGAAAATAAAATACGAGCTTTCATCGATGCAGCTTTCTGCTATGAAGGATAGCGATACACATAGCAAAAGCCTGCACAGAAGCAACGGATGCCCCAAACTCCACTGTGTAAACTTCCTCTCTAAAAGCAGTCATCTTGAAAATATGCTTGTTTTCTATATCTTCAATCTGAGAGAGAGTTTATCCATGTCAGTTATCAAATATAATTCCTTTAAGCTAACTAGAAGCAAAAAAGAAGTATACAAGTCTAGAGATCAGAGACCTGTGGTAATAATTCAATTCGACGAGCTCCAGCAGATGAATTGGAGCTCCTGTTCCTTGGACTATTATCAGTTAGAACTGTAAGCTTGCAGCCCTCATCCCAACCTCCGCAATCACAAGAACCTCCTGATCTCCATCTCTCAATCAAAGACGAGGGCTCTCCTTCAGATGAAATGCCATGAATCCCGTTAGGAAGAATCGCAGTTACACTTGGTAACCTTGAACTCTCATTCTTTTGCTCATTGTGCAACTCGTCATAGCTTATTTTTGTTGAACCTTTGGGCTTTTCATTTGGAACTTGAATAATGATAGCAGCAAGCTCATTGCTGAACGGAGAAATAACACGTTGATGATTCGTAGGTTCTAGTTCAGTACCGCAGCAAACAAACTCTCTTATGGAAAAATAGTCCTCAGAAGCAAACCTCAGCGATTTGGAAGAAGAAACCATCACCTGGCCAATCATATTGTAGGCAAAATCATTCTTCTTGCTCTTATTTCCTTGGCCCATCCAGACCCGACCTTTCTTTTTAAGTTCATGAGCAGTAAACATTGTATATATGCATCCAACATCATTTTTCTGTGCTAAGTTTCCTTTAGCCATTATGGAAGCAAGAACATTGTCGTCATCGGCAGAGAACACAAAAAGAGGGAGCCCATTCTTCCAAGCAAGTTTCAGAAAAGCATGTCTCAGTGACATCACTTGTTTTTGGGCCTCAACTGAAGAATCATTACTAACTTGTTGGGACCCATCACTGGTTAAATTAGAAGTAGTGCCAGAAAAGTAAAATTGGTTCTTTGGCTTCAATAATGGATCAAGTATTCTCCTCAATGGACTTCGCCTATTTCTACGACTAGATGTTGCATTTTCTGCCTGTGTGCTCTCTGAAGGAATAGCTTGTTGTTCCACTTCTTTCCTTGATGAAATTTCTCTCAAACTAGAATTTCTTAATAGACAGTGTGGTGTTATGCTACGTATACTTCTGGTATGAGAGGTTGAATTCTCTTCGAGGGAATTGTCTGAAATATTTGTTTTCTTCATAATCATTTTCCCTGTTGAATCTTGCTTGCTTGATATTTTTGTCATATCGTTTCGTTGTGCACTAGTTCTTGGCACTTTGTTTTCATACACCAAGTTGTTAGAAATAGAAGGCTCAAAATTTCGACTTACAGAAGGAAGTGGACATGAATAAGAAATGTCACTGACAGAAAAATTTCCTGAAAAACTCTTTCTGCCCACTGCTGCAGCAGAATCGCAGCTAATGCGCCTTGTCTGTTCACTCTCTTGAAGATTGTCCCACATGCCTTCGACCACCGAGCACTGATCTTGTAGCCAGTCTTCAGTAAAGTACAAATTACCAGAAAAACTTTGTTGTTCACAGTTCCGAGACTTCTCCTCTTCTTCTGATCTACCAATTTGAGACTTGACCTTGTTACTGCCAACATCTGGATTTTGGGGCTTGTCAATTGAAACACCTTTTACATTTGGACGTCTTATCTGACCTTCTTCTGATGATCTACAGTGTTCCCTTTTATTGGGGGAGTGCTTAGTTTGAGCACAAGGGCAATTTCTGCTAGCAGACTGTGAAGATGACCCGAATGTAGAAAACGATGCAGGTGTTGATGAATTGGAGCTTGATGGAGAATCTTCCTCTCTCCTATATGTGACTTGTTTCTGAAGGTATGCCCATTTTTCGAGACGCCCCCAATCAAGAACTCCAAAGTTTAGAGCTTTCTCTTGAACACTATCCCCTTTCTCCAATCTCTGAAGATAGCTTGGGACATTTGACATGTACTTCACCACATCATCACCTCCTGTCATATTTCTCCGTAGTTGTGTCTTCTGATGATTACGAGATGTTGAGGGTTTTCTTTCCTCAAGGGATGAGACCTTCTCACTTGAAGATCTAGGGGTCTGATACTGAAGTGAACTCCTTTTTCCTTGTACATTATGATCCACTGGTGGGATTTTCTTATGCTCAGAATTTTCTGTTTGTGATTTGGAATGCATGATTCGCAATCACAAGTCATGCAGTTTCCAGCTGGTTTAACTGTATTGCCTCAAAATCTTGTATGATGAAGAGATATGGCTGGTTATTCGATCTCGTGCTAGTGAAAAAGACCCCTTTGATTCTAAAACATGGAAGAGGTTAAATTAGAAAAACAGGATCGTGTACCAATGATGATTGTCTACAAGTTTCTCATGAACCTGGCTTACATACATGATATTATAAATATAATAAGGGACGATATCTGCAGCTAAAGAAAGACAAAGGACAGATTAAACAAATTAAGCACATGCACAGATACACACATAACAACGCTGAACAAACCAAATTAGGAATTTCTTAATGGCAGTTTCAATATACGAAATCCATATCATAAGTATCATACGTGTACTCACCCCGGACAAAAGGAAAAAAAAAAAGTATCCTTTCTAAGCTCTGGCTTCTTATTCCAAGAATGCATGCTATTGCTACCTAATTATATTACCATCTTGATACGTAGAAAACTATATACGAAAGAGAAGTATCGGGTCCAATACGTAACTTTGAGATATGTGTAGGACACAAGTCTAACAGAATACAACTTTATATTTGAAGTGTCCATGATACCTAGTTATAAGACCATCTTAATATGTAGAAAATTATGATGAGGAGGTATTTAGGTCCAGCAAATACTTTCAATCTAGAAACGTAGGCTCACTAGTTCAACCTTGGACCAGAACATAAATTTAGGGTAGGCCGATATAGCATCATAAGCGTTTCAAAACAACGTTCACTTAGAGTTTAATTGCTCACTGAATTGCATGTTGTGTTGTGCCATATTTCATAATTTAGAAGTAAATGGCAATTATTTTTTACTACAAGAAACCGAGACACGATAATGGGAGAGATCTTTAGTTACTTGAGATAAGAATTCTTTAACTATCTACGATTTCTCAGAAGAAGAGCCTTAACAAGAAAGAGGTATTGGGATCTCTAGATTGCCTGCCTGTTTGATGAGAAATGATTGATTTTCCCTTATTAAATGACGTGCTGAGGATGGCAATGCAAGCTTATCTCTCTAGAAGTGCATAAAATCCCTGTGCATAAGTGCATTTCTCTATCTCTTACATTCAGCTGAATTTTATTTGTTTGGGTCAAGATTTTAACTTTTTTGTGTCTGAAATAGGTAATGACTAAAGCAGAACTTAATAGCTAAAATGCTGAAATATAAGGTCAAAATGTAAGATCCAAAATGCCAATTCAGACTACGTGTGAAACCCTTATGTTTTCTATTAACTCCATCCTTTTTTTTCCGAGTAAACACCAATCATGTAGAGTAATACCTTAGAAGAACTTAGCCCCCGAAATCTATAACTAATCATGCAATATCTATCCCTAATTTTGCTTCATCCTCTATCTTTGCTTTCTATAGCTCTGTACACTAATTCCTCTCAAATTAATTGGCACAACTCATTGCTCTATTTCTGAAGAACAAGAGTATACACAAACCATAAAACAAACCTAATCAATTCTTAACATCTTGACCAACAATAAGATTGTCAACACCAAAATCTTCTCTCTTTTTTTTATGTATCTAACATTAATTTTCTTTTTTGGATATTCAAAACCCAAAACAGGACCAAACCATGAACACTTGGACGACCAAACCCAGAATTACCAAAAACCGCATCTCAATCGAAAATTCAACAATAACCCATTTCAATTGACACCCAATTTTGCTCGAAAAAGCAAGGAAGAAAAAGGAAAAGAAAAAAGGGGGGAAAACTCGCCTGGTGCCTAATCAACAGGCAGAACAGCATTCAAAACAACAGCAGAAAATTTGATTAAACAAATGTAAGTGACAGAGAAGTACCCTTCAAGACGAAGAAAGGTATAGAAATCCCTAGGAAATTCGTCTACCTTGAGAGTCGAGAATATATCATTAATTACTCATCAATAAACTGTAAAATTTTGAGATAAGTCTTGCGAGTGTTTTACCTTGTGAAACCCAAGAGAGAGGAATCGAAATTTCCGAGTTTTTCAAATTTCAATTTGAATTCAATGGAAGGAACAAGAACAGAGCACGTCAAGAGCATATGGGGTATGGCTTTTTTGGTGTTTTTAGCCGCTAATGGGTTTCTTCGTGATGTTGATGTTTTACGAGGGGGTGAAAGTGAACTCTTTAGCCGGTTCCCTTCTTTCCCGCGGCGCGCGCGGGACCCACGCGGGCCTGCTTGTCGTTGAAGTTGAGCTGTGGAGTGCAGTTCCCGAAATGACTCCAAGTGGGCCCCCACAGCAGCGTCGTTATTAGGCTCTCTAAAAGTTTTGTATGCATTTTTTCACATGGCTATTTTTTTTTTATCTTTTGGAAATTATTACTCTATCCCTCTAGAAAATTTAAAAAAAAAATGTTTAATGTTTTCGTTAAGATAATTATATATTATAAGTACAGTGTAATGGTTCTTATAGTAGCACGAATGCCACATGGGGATAGTCGAGAAATATTTTCGTTATCGGATAACAGATGATATCAAAGTATTAGCTTTAAAAGTTTCACAACATACAAATGCTGCGGAAAAAACAAGCCCAAAAAGTTATGCTTGGTAGTGAGGTGTCAAATCTCCCTCTACTCATTCAAATGTGGGAACAAATTCACATGGGTAGTGAGTGGATGAGGTTGTGACACATCACTGCCAAGCACAAAATTTGTGCTTGGTACCAAGCATAGCTTATGTACGAGTTAGTCTAAGAGTTTTGACGAGGTGAAAACTATCTTAAATAACATGAGTAGTGATAATCGTACTATAAAAGTTATAATATTCTTGTATTACTATATGCAAAAAAACAAGAGACACTTTCTTGCAAATTGTAAAAAAAAGTTATGAGTTGTCAATATCTTTATATGCAGCAATACAAGAATAGTATTGTAGCATTTTCCAAACAATAGTATTGCCAGAAATATGTCTACTTCAATCAACACTTAAAAAGAGAAGGTTCCTTCGGTTGTTGTACAGTTCCCTTCATCTGATGGAACAAAACTAATGCAGCCATGAAAGCAAACATGTTTCTTCACGATGAAGAGATTCTTGAGATCAAATCTTAAAATTGAAAGAATTAAGTTGGTGAAGAAAATAATAAAGAACAAGTGCATGTCCATTTCTTGTCACAGTTCACTAACAAACATGAGAGCTAGAGTTAACTTAAACCACCTTGCCTCCAATGTGATAAGACAAAAGAAAAGAAAATCTTGAAAAGATAAGATGCATCTCTTGGGTCTCTTTCTATTCGATGGAATAATGAGATCGAGCAATTGGGGGCCCATTTCGTGAAGAAGAGGAGCGAAAAGAGAGATCTCACAGGGTTCTTTGGGGAAATGATGCCTCAAAGGGAAAATAAACATTTTTGTTTGCAAAGCTAATGCAAAGATGTACATAGACTACGAACTAGGCCTTTATTGAGTATTAAGAGACTTTCTTATGACTCTACATAAGTTGTTCTTTTTCTTTGTTTGTTTTCCCCTTTTTACAATATTCTTTTCATTTGCTTATATTATATATTCTTCTTCTTCTTCTTCCTCCTCCTCCTCCTCCTTCTTCTTGAGAGAGAGAAAGTGTGTGTGCGCGTGAGTTGCTTATTACATGTTATTGTAGTATACAACTTTGAGGAGCATAAATAGACCAGGATATAAGGATAAATTTCGTCTAAAAGCGATATTAATGGAAAATTGAGATGATCTAAACCCGGTTAAGTTCTAAACATTTATTTGAAGTTTGAGACAGGCAGTGAAAGAATACAAAATAAAACGCAGTAGTGTTGAAAACTAAGATATGCTTGGGGGAAATTAAAATATATACAATTTTTGAGGTTCTCTCTCTTCAGATGTTGAAAGTGTACTACTATATGTGCATATATCATCATCTAAAAGAATCTATCTTCAGATGTTAAAGTGTCCTACGCATATCATCATCTAAAAGAACATAAAGTTTTCTCTAAAATGCTAATAATTAGACCCAAGACTCTGGTAGATGTGTGTTCTATAAATAAAAGTTAATGATTGGTAAATTTATCCAAAGATGAATTCCACTCAGTAGACAAGTAGTACTCCATCCCACAAAACATATGCCTTTACTTAAAGTAGAATCTTTTTTTATGATGCTATCAATCTTCATGGATTGGAATCCAAGGGAGGGGGGAAATAAAAAATAAGACGAAAAGAAAAGAAGCTAACTCAACCAGAATGACTGAGTAACTGTATACCGACCAAACCTAATCATCCTAAGAAGAGCAGAAGGATTCAAAGGGAATAAGTGAGCAATTATGGACCAAAATTGATTATTATCCTTCAGGAGCTAATTAAACTGTGATTAGCAAAAAAAACACTTTTAAAAACGTTAATATATCATCTTAAAAACTTATAATTAGTTACTGAATAATTCATTTTAGAGTCAATGATCTAATATAAAATATATTAACTATAATAGAGAGAAATAATTTAGACTTGAGCATAATAGATGCATCAAAATCGCAATTTTGTAGAACTCGTTTTGAACAGCTTGAAGTGAATTGGATCACCTCACTTTACATTTTAGGAGAAAGCTAACTGGGTGGTCATCAATAAATTTTCTTAAAAAATATTTACACCCTCCTTTAATGACACGGGCCGAACAGCTAATCACAAATCGACGCGCGGAAAAAGAAGAAAAACAAAGAGCAACTGCAGAAAAACACAGAAATTTTGATAAGGTGATTACCTATGTCCTCGAGTACAGTCAAATCACGATTCTACTAATCATCAATGAATAATTACACTTAACATCTCAAATCCAAATCTCAATTAGGACATGTTTGGTTGGTTTATTTTGAAGGGGAAAGCTGCCATAGATGCCATCTGTGGCAGCTTTTAGCTACTTTCCCCTTTAAAAACGGGCAACCAAACGGGCTCTTATATGCCGTCTTTATTTCTTTCTCTATTGGATATAAACATGAAGAGTCTCTACCCACCCGCTCATTTGTAGTCACGATGCAAATTCGTAAAGGCTCGTTTGGTATGAGGTTAAAACAATCAAGGTTGAACTTTAACATGGTATTTATAATTACTCTAGAACAGTTAGTGGGAGAAATACTCACTTATAAGGATTAAAATTTAACACAAAAAAAAACCTCCACCACTCAAAACTCATAAATTATAAAAATCCCTTCAAAATATTAAACTTACAAACAACCACCTAAAAAATATGACAATTGTAAGAAGTCTCATGCACATTGAAAATTTACAAAAAATACCCTAGAAGTTTTAAAATTGCAGAAAATACCCTCAAAAACTAAAAGATTATTAAAAAAATCCTTCAAATTACATACCTATAAAATAGTATGCTGATAATGTAGGACTACAAAAATCCCCTAAAAGTTTTAGAATTTGTAGAAAAAACCCTAAAAGTTTCAAAAAAAACAAAAAACACATTAAAAGAATCAAACTTTGTCGAAAACATCCTAAAAAATCAAAGCTTACAAACAAGTACTTTTGTGAATTTCAATTTTTGGAGGTTGTTTTTTATAATTTTCTAAACTTTTAGGGTACTTTCTACAAATTTATAATTTTTTAGCTTGATGTTTTTATCTTTGGAATTTTTTTTTGTTGCAAATTCTTAAGATTTTAAGGGTATTTATTTCAAATTTTTGAAATTTTCTAGATGTTTTTTGCCAAGTCCAAAATTTCAGAAAGCTGTTTATAAACCTATATTGTTAGTATATTATTTATAGGTTTAAATTTTCCAAGGTTTTTTTTGTAAATTTTAAACTATAAACGTGTCTTTGAAATTTCCAAAACTTACAGAGCATTTTCTGTAAATCTTAAAAAATTTAGGGGTCTGTTTGTAATTCTTATATTTTCAATGTACTTTTTATAGGATTAAAATTTTTATGGTGTTTTTGTAAAATTTGAAATTTAAAATTTATAGAAAACACTCTGAAAGGTTTGAAAACTGCGGAAAACGTTGTAATTTTTTTTGAAATTTACAAAAAAACCCTACCATTTAAAAAATTGCAAACAATATATGAAAATTCTAGGAAGTCTAAACAGCTGCCTAAAAAATTAGAATTTGTAAAAAAAACCTAAAATTTTTATAAAATTGCAAAAAAAACACTCAAGTTTGGGTCGGGGTTACTTTACAAAGGATCTTGTCAATTTTTAGGTTTCAGAAGACTTGTTGTAAGTTTTAAAACTTTTTAAAGGGTTTTTATTAGGCTTGTCCAAACGAGCCGGGCCAACCCGAATTTTCAGGTCCGAGCTAAATTGGGCTGGGCTCCAGGCTGGCCTAAAAATTTTTATTTGATTGTTTTGCAAAAAAATATTAAAAAATAAGATTAATCTTGTTATATTTATATAAGTATGTTTAGTATATACTTACATATTAATATATATATAGCCATATATTATATATAAGTTTATTGTATATACTTATAAGTTATAACTTGAGAGATAGAGAATCACATAAGTATATACTACTTACTTATAAATATGTATTATATAGTTATATATGTATTTCTTAGAGACTTATAATATGCTTATTAAAGTATGGTTATATACTTTACTTATATGTACTAGATGCAATATAGTTATATATAATTATACTTATGTACTTATATAAAATATACTTATATAACTACAAGTCTATAAATATACACATATAAGTATACTTATATCTTAGTATCATTACCATGGTAAGAGGATACATATAAGTATATAATATAATATACTTGTGACAACTTAAGTGGATAGCAAAAAATTATCCACTAAACTTTTTAGCCATTGATGTTACCTAGGATCCATGAAAGATATGAAGAAGTTTTTTATATATATAAACGAGTGGCTAAAAAGTTTGGTGGACATCCACTTAAGTTGACATAAGATTATATATATATATATAAAAGGAAAGTTGTAATCTTTTTTCTTTTTCTTTGATTTCGTTGTAACCGGATCTAAAAAAGACCGGATCTTTTGTAACCAAAAAGCAATTACTTGAGATAACAATGAATTCAATGAAGGCAATTTTTCCAGCGAACACAAACTCCTTACCCTCTATCCATATTTATAGCCTACAACAATTAACAAGAGCCCTTGGAATAGCATTGGATTCTAATAAAAAAT